CCATCCAATCGCTCTGGCCTCAGCTTCGAATTGTCGGCGGTAATTTGCAAAAGAAGTTTTTCCGTCGAACTGGGGCGGCTTCATAGAGAGTTTTCTTGATTCAGAAGTAATACATTCAATGATTTCCGATCATACTGCTCAAAAACTCACGTTCTATAATAATGATTTCAGGAAAGAAACAAAGGTGTTTACAAAAGATCCTACACAGAAAAAACATACAATATTTTATATCTGCAATAAAAATAGTATGCTGGATTTATATTTACACTCTAGACCAAAATGATGTCGATCAACAATGGAACCTATTTATGCAATATTTCCTAAACATTTTCAATCAATTTTTCCCTAAGAAGAAAGTGTTGATGAAACACAAACAAAATAAAAAACTAGTTACAGAGGGGTATGATGCTGAACTCATTGAATGTAAAAATAGATTAGATATTCTCTATGTATGTAGCACGGCGGACCAAACTTACAAAGACACATATAATCAAGTAAAAAAAGAATACAACAGCAAACTGAAAAAAAGTAGTGCAAAAATTATAAAACAAAAGTAGAACAATCAGATAATAAATCTAAAGCGGTATGGGAAGTTGCGAGAGATATTAAGAGAAATGAGGCAAGAAGGTATTCTGTCGGACAAAGATGCAAAAACTGTCGCAAACGACTATAATAACTTCTTGATAAGTGCAGTCTCCAACTTATTGAAGCAACAACAGGAGAAAAAATTTTCACACAAAATAAAATGAAATGACAAGTCAATACTGCTAACACCAACAAATGCAAATTAAATTTTAGAAATTGTTAAAAAGAATTAAAAGTAAGATGAGTAGTGGACATGATGAAATCCCTTCTAAAATTATTAAATTATGTATAGAAGAAATGATGGATGCGGTTGAATATATTGTGAACAATTCCCTAAAATACGGAGTTTTTCCTGACTCACTCAAGCTAGCATTAGTCAAACTAAACTAGAAAACTTTAGACCAATTAGTCTACTGTCTTCATTCTCAAAAATGGTTGAAGCTGTATTATGCAAACGGGTGAAGGATTTCTTCAGGCAGTGTAATCTTACCAGTAAGTGGCAACATGGATATCAGAAAGGGAAAACAACATATACAGCAATTTTTCAATTCATTCAAAATATCTTGTTACAACTTGAGAACAATAATTTGGCATTGGGATTATTTCTAGACCTGTCAAAAGCTATTGATTGTTTGAACCACACAGTTCTTCTACAAAAGCTGGAATCATATGGCATACGTGGCCCTGCGCTGAAATGGCTTAAATCTTATATATCAGGTAGAAAACAAATCGTGTTAAGGAAGGAATGAAAGCTTGAATCAGACTTAAAATCAATTGATACTGGGGTGCCACAAGGTAGTATAATTGGCCCAATCATTGGGCCCCTATGATGTTTATCATTTTTCTAAGTAAACCTGGAGGAGATTTGTGGGAAAAATTGCAAAATGACAAATTATACGGATGACAGAAACTTGCTGGTCAATGCAGTAGACTATCCCGGTCTGATATCCATAACTGAAGAAAGCCTCTGTAAAGCAGATGAGTGGTTCAGGAGAAACAAACTTATATTAAATGACAATAAGACCAAAACTGTAATGTTCAAAACAAACCATGCAGGATTTGACTTGCCTCAAGAAATTCGGCTGATGAATATTTCACTCAAAATAGAAAATGAGTGCAAATTCTTAGACACATAGACAGCACACGGAGTTTCAACAGTCATATTCAAAATGTTTGTCAAAAGTTGAACTCAGTGTTGTATTGGTCAGTATGTTGACACAGATGTAATATGAATGGTCCATCATTCAAATTTTGAATCTGTTTGTAGGTATGGGATTATTTTTTATGAACGTAGTAGTACTAATGCAGAGCAAATTTTTATTGTACAAAAAAAAGCCTTAAGAACTCAAGAGAATTAGTAGTCTTAAAATATCAATAGGACTCTATATACAGAAACTCTTGTTATTCCTTTTTAGAAACAAACATCTTTTTGAAAATAGTCTACCACAAAATGTATATAACACTAGAAATTTTGACTATGTATACTCAAAACATAAACTAACTGTTACAGAAAGGAGCCCGTTCTATCAAAGCATGAAAATGTTCAACAAAGTCCCCACCAGTATCAAACAAATGGTGAATTCAAAAAGGAAATTCATAAGATTTTACTGAATGTAGAACTCTATACTATTGCTGAATACCTCAGCCATACTGTCTTGACATAACCTATCTTACTGGTGACGTTATTTCTGTTTTTGTATCTTTTTGCGATTATTCTTCAGAAATAAAGATATTTATTCTTATTCTTATTATTATTAATACGCTAATCAATAAGCTGCCATTCGAATTACACCTATCTGGCTTTCAGTATTGCGATCCTGGTATGAAACTACAAGAACGTCTAGCACGAGGTAATACTGGTATTAATCCTATAGACTCAGCTTGCAAACAGCACGATTTGGCATATTCGCAGAATACATCTTTTGAAACTATACATCGAGACGATAAAGTTCTCCAAGAAAAGGCGTGGCACCGAGTAAAATCCAAAGACTTAACACTTGGCGAGAAAGTCATCGGAGATTATTCAGGTTGTATAAACCTCTGAGGAAGCTAGCCACTTGCGTCAGCGAAAAGTCAGGAAGAAATTCCAAAAATCGACGGCCTTCCAATCCGAAAAATAGTGACACTGATAAAAAAGGGGGTTCGAACCATCTTGCCTGTTCAGACCACTTCTTGACCTGTTCAAGACTTGTTCGGGATCTGTTCGAGACGCCTGATAAAAGCCAATCGAGTATCTGTTCCCTAACAATGAAAAGTATGGACATACGAAAAATGGTTATGGATTAGAATTTTCAAAATATAGTGAGTTGTTGCATGAAAGCACGTGATTACAAAACACGTGAAAAATATAGAGAAAAAATTACAAGATAAAATTCCTCAAACATGTGAACAACAACAAACCTCATCTGAACCTTATAAAAACGCCTAATTTCTACAGGATATTTTTCAAACATGCGGCAAAAATTAAGGGACTATTCCAAGGATATTTTGTTTTTTGATGATTTTTGATAGGGCGCTTTGTTTCGAAGATACGGGACGAAAAAGAATTTCGACAATAATAATTTTGGTGATTTTGAAATTATTAACGTAGCCGAAATAAAAGTATGGCGTACTACACTCGATCTACCAAGTAATAAAAAATCTAACAATTTCGATGGTACCTATCAACAACATTCCGATTAGTACAAACGGCTGCAGATATTCAATTTGCTGGGTTTAACACAATCAGAAACGATCCTGGTGTTTTTAAAAGAGTTCGGGAGTCGACGAGAAAAAGATTGAATTCTTGCATCCGAGCGGGGGTAGTAATTTTCAACAGTTCTTGTAGATTAAGAAATATTACATGTAATTTTTTGTAATAAATTATTATTGTCGAAATAGTTTTTCTCTCCGTATCTTCGAAACAAAGGGCCCTATGAAAAATCATCAAAGGACAAAATATCCTTAGAATAGTCCAAGGAATAAAAAAGCGTCTGTTTTTCCGTGAATCAGCTGTCGCCCCCATACGAACGATATCTCTCAGAAGTTGAGAAACTTGTGCAAGCTAAGGACTAACGAGGTCTTACCTTTTAACGTGTAATTCCTAACTCGTTTTTTGCCGCATATTTAATAAATACCCTGTATAAACGATCATGTTTGAGACACCTGAATTTTGCGTTTTTGAAACACCCGCTACATTTTTTCTTTCTTTGAAACGTATCATCTACATCTAAATCGACACTCTCTATCTCTCTAACATCCATACACTTTGAATATCAAGTCGCTACTGCGCATGCGCTAATAGAACCAAGGTAGTCTATCTACTCTAAATAAATTATTATATGTGAAAATATTAAGGTATCATAGATGTTACATACGTGCTTCTCAACTATTGAGGAAGGAGATTATTTTACTTGGGAGATAAAAAAAAACAGAAGACAAACTACTTTACTTTCAAAATTTGGATGAGAAATTAAACTACTAAGTCTGATGACTGGCAATAAGAGATATTAAATATTCTCTCCTCCCAACATAGTAGGATCTGGCAAATGTCTGTCTAAAAACAACTGTTTCCTCAGTTCTTAAATGGACATTAATTATACACGGCAGATATTTGTTCACTTCACCAATTTCCAGATAAAAATAGGTACTCATATTCTCTGTGTGCTTGTATGAGTAACAACTGATTTTATGATTTTGTGATTCAAGATTTAGTGCGACAAGCTAGCATTATCTTGAGATTTGAGAGTAGGCAAGGAATCATTTCACCAAGGAGTCAAATAATCAGAACAACTTTCTCAAGAGGTCTGGAAAGAGTCTGTGGAGTTCAAAGAGAATTATTATCATTATTATTTATGAAGCTTAAGCCACCAAAAGAGTTTTCGTTAAATGACTTTTATTTCAGTTTCATTTTAACCATTACCTATTTCTTCATGTTTCTTTTTGAAAGATGCATCTATATAGGTAATCTACATGTATCCCTAGGGTGGTATCTAGAATCTAGATACTTGTTGAGTTCTGTGTCCTTCATTTTATCGTGGAGAAGTTCAAAAAGTAAAGCTTTCTGTCGAATAATAGTCTCTAGTTTTAGACGAACACACAATAAAAATATATTATATGATAATTTCGTACCACTGAAAATCATCTTAAATCAATTGAAACTGTAATGTATTAAAACCATTCATTGCCTGTTGAAAATTCTCTATTTACGCCTATGTTTAATTTATGATTTTTTATAGTTATTGAGGAATGTATATTTTATGTTTCACTTTACTACCAGAGAATTTTCATTCCATGACGGAATTCAGTCTTATAGATAGTGTGTAATATAGGGGTGCAATGACAATCAGTGTTTTATTGTCCCCTTTGAACACTACAGAAACTGATTCATTAAATGTTAAGGATTAGCGATTAGATTTTAATAAAACTTCGTTATTTGTTTGATTCAATTGCATTACATTTTTTCTAAAAAAGGTTTTGCAGAAAATGTATTCTAGAAAAAATTATACATTACTTTATATTCGACTGGACCACAAGGTAGATCTGCATGTAGATTTTCAAAAACCTCCCATGCTTTTTCCAAATCATTTTTTTTTGGTTCAAAAATTGAATGCTTCAAAGTAGGCCTTCTGTTCAGTATCCTCTCTGAAATCAATTATTCTTTCAACTGAAAAAAAGAATCATTACAAATATTCACTTCCATAAATATTTAGACTTACCTTTGGTGAGAGAATGATAAACCACTGGTTTTCTCCAAATAATAATTCATCCATATTTTACTTCCCAGTATAATTTTCATGGATTAGTATCAGCCAGTAGTAAATTTGAAATTCATAGGAGATTATAAAAATTATCAAAAGATAACGATAAAAACAAAAACTTTTTGTCATTCGGTCAAATAAAATGAACAGTACTATCTATCGAGTCTGAGGAGAAGCAAAAATCAGTTTCGATTCGAACGTTGAAATAGACAAATATTGTAAATGATTTGTATCTTATCCAAATAAGCAGGATATATAATTTGTTATTGTCTGAGAAATATTAGCAAGCATTACCCAATTGAAAACTAAAATATTGAACAGTACCAACATTTTAGGAGTTCAAATCGGCTTTACGTCAATTTATGTTAGCAAGTCGATTTTGTTTCAAGATGTTCAGTGATATATCTCAAAATATATAAAACATGACGTTCGATTTTCAATGTTAAGACTCAATTCAAATTAAAATTGAATGGAACATTAAAGTATCACACACCAGATGGCCCAATTATTTTCTACAAAACCCCATGAAAAATTTACACCAGACATTCAAGAATGTGTTATGTCTGTAGTTTGATTTATATGCGCAAATGACTACAAAAATCATTCAGAAAGTTTTCATTAATTCTTTCATATCATCTACTGAGAATGCCAGCATAGTTGGCCAAACGTTTGTCGAAAAAATTAACACAGTTTTTGTGTGTGTAAAAAGTGTTTTCACTGAATTCGTTCTTTACTAAGGGTTGGATGGTTATTTTTTGTATAATCCTTTTTGGTAAAATTACCGTGAAATTTCAAACAGAAGAATTCATTTTGAAATCAAATTTTGTATTTCGTCTTCAAAGTTGAAACACATTCATTATTCAACACCAGGCAGCGTTGTTTCGACCCTTCATAAATCTCGTCAGTGGTGCTAGGCTGAACCACAAATGCACTGCTGGACTCTACTGTCCATAAAGAACAAGCCTGAGTAAATATGGACGGTGATAACTTCCCTTACAAAGACGTCATCTATTGGATCAACAGGGAACTGAATCCTCGAATATCAAAAATAAACGAGGCTTCCCAAGGCGGTCAGTTGCTTAGCCAAGCTTCGACATCGACCGCCGACGAGATGCGTCCTCTGTATTTCACTGCAGCTTCTACTGCAGGGCAACAAGATAAAAACCAGGGCCCAAACACAACGCATTCATGATTCATCACCACATAGCACTGTTTCAACCCACCATAGGTGTCATCAGTGGTAGGAAGCCTCGTTTATCTTTGTTATCCGAGGATTTAGTTAGTTCTCTGTCGATACCATAAAAGGCGACAATTGAGACCAGCAGCATAGCACCTATGGCGGGTCGAAACAGCGCTGTCTGGTGTTGAATCATGAATGCGTTTGGTTTGGGCTCTTGTTTTCAACTTGTTGCTTGGCAGTGGAAGCTACAGTGAAAGACAGAGGACTGATTTCGTCGACAGTCGATATCAGAGCTTAGCTTTGCAACTGACCGCTTTGAGGAGCCTAGTTTATCTTTGATATCCAAGAATATAGTTCTCTGTTGATCCTATCGATGGCGTCCTCGTAAACGGAGATATCATCGCCATTATTTATAAAATATATCAGTCCATAATGAATCTAGTTTTCTTCCAAAATATTCATGTTGAAATTGTTAATTTTTTAATAAATTGAAAATGAAGTCCAGAGTAGATTTTGATTTTTAGATATTTACCAAATATTAGTTCCACTTCACTACTGCATCTTCTACATTCAAACACTTTCGAAAGTCCAACAAAGGTAAAGTCGTAGATAGGAACGACACTCTTTGATCTAACAACAAATTTCTTCAAATTCTTCAGTTCTACCACCAATCGTTCATAGTTTATTCTATAGAGGGACTCATGATCGTCGAGAATCTGAAAAACTGATAAATTTGAAGTTGCACACGAGATTATTCCGTGGATGGTATATTCACACAACCATATGATAAATTTCACTAGTTCGGACTTCCATTGTCTACTATATAAAATGATTTGAAATTGGTTCAGGAGAAAATTTAAGGAAGCCGCATACATGTTGTCCAACAACGTATTCAGCCAGGCCAGCGTAGATATACGAAACTAATGGAAGTCCGAACTAGTGAAATTCATCACGAAACATTGTCAATCACCTTCAAACAAACCATATGATAATTCCAACAACAAATTTACCTCCAAAATTAAGTAAAGTGTGATTTAGTCTTTGAAGGATAGCACAAATACAGTTAAGAAATGAATATTACTGGAGTTTAGTCCCAACACCAAACTATTATTTGTAACACCTCAACATGTGTTTCAATCACCAAGTGATTGATTAAAGATTAAACTTCCCCTTGAAGATGATCACTTGGTGATTGAAACACGTGCCGAGGTGTTGGAAATAACGGTTTGGTGTTGGGATTCCAAAGATAAACGAAGCTTCCTAAAATGATCCATTGGATAGCCAAGCTTTGACATCGACCGGTGAACGAGATTGGTACTCTTGTCTTTCTCTCAAAGGTAACCAGATCAAAGCAGAGCCCAAAGACAATGCATCATCAGTATGGTGCAGCCAAGTGTAAGGATGGTTATCAAACTATCAAAAGATAGTTTGATAACCAAAAGCCCGAAACACGTGTCTATGGTTTGCCACTTTCATGAGTGCTATGTCCGATATTAACNATAAGCCTTTGTCAATATATCCGTCAAAAAAGATGCCAAAGATTCTGTAGGATTATTTATAGAGGCAATGATGGGCCTTAAAGATAAAGTAGGTTTATGAATTTTGGGAAGAGCATAAAATTTTGGAATGATACCTGTGTAAGAGGTAAGTTTTTTTTTAGTAATTTCATCTATTTGATTAGTGGTAAAGAGGTTTTTTATAAGGGAATTAGATTTATTTTGGATTTTGAGAGTGGGATCTCTTTGGATGAGTTCATAAGAATTACCATTTTCTATTAGTTCGGAGGATAACTGTATGTATTGTTCTTTTTCCATTATGACAGTGACATTTCCTTTATCGGATCTAGAGACAATTAAGTCAGGATTATTTTTTAGAAAAAGTTTTGTTTTTGAATATAAATTGTGGAAAAAAGATGGAGAGGAATGTTTAGGAAAGTTTACATAATTTGTAATGACATTAGTAGAACGTGTAATGTCACCGAGGCCAAAGCCTCGGTGGATTATCCTGAGGTGGATTAAAGGGCACGAAAGGAGTAAAGAGATGGATGGAATCAAAGGAGGCAATCTTGCCAGGATCACCCTGGGCGACCCTGGGAAGCTGGCGCCGAAGAGATATCTGGCGATGACCAGGAAAAATCTATGCTTAACAGTAGGATTTCTGTAGCTACTTTTTTCTGATCATTCCCATCTGTCTGTATGTGTAGAGAAGGGAGGGTGAGTGTAGGCCCACCCTGAAGGTGTTCCATATAAAATTCCGCGGGCAAATAACTGAAAAATGAGAGAGAATATCCATATTTCGTGAAGGCATTTGATTTCAATGCCAAGGGGTCCTCTTATTTGCGAAGAGATCCAGCAATAGGCGTGATCCATTAGGGCGTCGCGACACCGACGCCAATTCCTTTTTGGATTCTACATTAAATTCTGAATTCAGCCATATATCACACTTGTAGTTTTCCTTGAATACTGATGAAAAAAGGCAATTTTATTGCATATTATAAAGAGGGCCATGAATAGGTCAAAATGAATGCAATTCATTTTTAGCTGTCCGATTCGTGACAGCTAAAAGCGTCTCTCGCGTTATGGAAGCACAAACATTTGTGCTTACTACTTACTATTTTTCAAATCCTCTACATTTTGTGGACGACGCCTATAAACTAAGTCTTTGATATATCCCCACAAAATCTAGTGGGGTAATATCTGGACTTCGATCTGTCCATGGTATTGGACCCAATACATACCTTATTTCCAATCCATTTCTCTTTAAAAGTATCATCCAAATATTGGGTAACTATTCTATTATTATGTGGAGGTGCCCCATCTTGTTGAAACCACATATTCAGTCGAGTTTGTATTGGTAAATTCTCCAAGAGATTTGGCAACACATGTTGTAGAAAAACCAAGTACCTCTCCCCATTGAGAATTTCTTCGAAAAAATGAGGTCCTATCAAATAACCATCAATGATTCCGCACCAAACATTGAAAAAAACAGACTGAAATCTCGTTTCTTGCATCCAATGAGGGTTCCCGCCAGACCAATAGTGACAATTATGTTTGTTTATTATACCGTTGTTATGGATACGGCTTTCATCACTCCATAATATTTTTTTCAGAAACTGATCATCATCATGAATACTGTTATTAAATATGAAATATGAAGATTATTACCTAGATGTAGTCCTTGAACCAAGTGTATTTTGTATGGATGGATTTTTTTTTTGACAAAATACGTTGTATTGACGATTTCGAAAACAATGCATTGCTACTTGTTTGGTAGAACTATATGGTTCCAACACCATTTAACCTAGCACTGTAACACTGTGATTCTCATCAGTGGCCGTATTTTGTTTTTTCCTCTTCCGTTCATTAAAATATTCATTTCGTACCAAAGATTTGGTTAAGCTAGCGAATGTTTTGTGTGAAGGTATTTTCCTGTCAGGATACCGATTAGTGTATTTTCTCACTGCTTCTTTTGAATTCCTTCTTGCTTCGCCATAAATACATATCATATCCAACTTTTCTGCATTTGAAAATTGAACCATTTTTCAATTTTAAGAAAAATCAACACAAAACTGAATACACTTTCGTCAAATCTGACAGGTCTTCTGACAGATCGATAAATACATTATTGCATTTATTTTGACTTATTCATGGTCCTCTTTATAAGACGCAATAAAATTGACTTTTTTTGTCAGTATTCAAGGAAAACTACAAGTGTGCTATAGGTATGGCTGAATTCAGAATTCAATGCGGAATTCAAAAACTAATTGAAAATACTGGGTTACCATTTAAAAAAATTAGCGTCGGTTTCGCGACGCCCTAACGGATGACGTCTAGTGCTGGATCTCTACGTGAATAAAAGGAACCTTTGACACCAAAATTATCTACTTCCACGAAATATGGATATTCTTTTTAATTTTTTAGATATTTGCCCGCGGAATTTTATATGGGACACCCTGTATATACAGGGTATATTCCATATTTGATGGTCTATTAGACGTATCTAGAGAACAAAAAAAATGAGAGTTTTAAATTTTGGTTACCGATGTAAATAGTTGTGATCTATCGTTCGAAAATATTTTCGTGACTGCAATGTTGTCACATCTGCATGTAACAGACATCAACTTGGAAAATTCAAATAAAACACCCTATATATTATATCATTTTTAAATTCTGCATCAAAATCAAAATTACTTTTGTTGAACATGTTATATAGGTACTCATCTATCATCATTTTCAAAATAATTATTGTTTTATAACTATTGTATAGCGAAACGCGTGTCGTGGTTTTTGTAAAACTCTTTATAGTGAAAATCATATAATGAACTGTATTAATTAGTTTTGAACAAGTTATTGTCAAATCCATTATTTTGTTTTTTAAATCAGACTTAGATCATGACACACCATTATCCTTGCCGAAATTTGGTTGTGAATTCAAAATTATTGTTTAAAACTCTTTTCATATTCGAGTAGATGATTGGAAATAGAAAAAGTTTCACTATATGTATTGAAGGAGTGAATTTTCGAAGGCCCGAGACCTACGCTGAAACTTAAGAATGTGTGTATTATGCACTTGATTTTTGATTTCATTGAAAATTTTATGCTTGTACCTATAGGAGAATTTTTTGTTAAAAATAATATTTGAGTTCCATTCTGAAATAACAACCACCATATCTTATTTCAGTGTTGTCAGAAGTTGAGTTTGATGTATCTGTTGATTCATGCAATATTAAATATTAAAAATACCATCTTTTTGGCAAAAAAAATAAATAACCAAATAATTAATATTTTAAAAACGATGAGAGATAAGTATAGAACATGTTCAACAAAAGTGATTTGGATTTTAATGCAGAATTCAAAAATGATATAATATATAGGGTGTTCCTTTTGAAATTTCCGAGTTGATGTTTGTTACATGTAGATGTGGCAACATTGCGGCGATGAAAATATTTTCAAAAGATAGATCACAACCATTTACATCGGTAACCAAAATTTAAAACTCTCATCTTTTACTGAACGTTTTATTCTCTTGTTTGTTCTTTTATGCCATTAGAAGTCCTTAGTGCAGGTACTGCAGGTAAATTTGCCTGTATTTGGGTTAGGTCAGGTACTATCCTTTGTGTTGGATTTTCTCGGTTCATAAAGTTGAGAATCTTAGCGACTGGGGAAATGTACAGTAAAATGGATTAACGGGGTCTCTCAGTTAAAAAAATCAAAAATCAAAACTCTGTTCTACTTTGCCAAGCTTTCGCTTCTAATGGGAAGCTTCTTCAGGGCCTATACTTTTTTGAGTTGTGGGTTTTTTGTCAATGAATAACATTACAAATCATACTTACAGTAAAAATGAGTAAAAAACAATGAATTGAACATAAATCGACGAAAGAATGGTAATGGATTTTTTTCGGTTTGACAAATGTCATACCTTCACATAAATGTCATTTTTCAATGGGCATGATGATTTGATAATCTTTGACTTTAAAGGGAGAGTTAATGATACAATTTTCATTATTATCATTATGTTTTTTGGTGTAGTTCCAATAAGTTACTGTATTTACAATTACAATTGTTATTTCTGCTTTTCATATATAGGAAGTTACTTGCGATGAATCTTCCAAATTGAAGATGTTGCACAGGTGCCTGATGGTTTTACTTTCAGCTTTCTGCGCGGTATTAGGTGGGTTAGTTGTTGTTTTTCCGTCGGGTATCTGCAACACGTAAATACAAAGTCGTAGGTTCACATGAGAGGCAAGGGTAATCACTCAAACAAATCACTTGCCATTCATTGCAATGCACTTGTCATATCTTCTCTCAATATTCAATATAATTTTTCTCAAATGTTCTGTTGTAATTTTTGCACAAGCTGCAGATATTCTGATGCGTAGATCTTCTACTGACTGTGGTATGGAATTGTAAACATTTTGCTTCACAATACCCCAAAGAAAAAATCTAGCAGTGTCAGGTCCGGTGATCTTGTAACACTGAATGTAAGATCTATTTCGACCCATCCATCGATTTCCATAATTATTATTCAGCCATTCTCTTACAATAACTACATTGTGTCTGAAAACCCATCTAATTGAAACTTCAATTCAGGCTATCCTGCACTGGTATGTATTGCGTACCAAAACTCATTTCTCAAAAAGTCTGAAAATATAATTCCATTCAGATTACTTCCGAAGCAAAACGAACCAACAATCTTATCATGGATTATTCTACACATTCATATGGGAATATTGCCTTTTTGCGTTTATAACCCAATTAGAATTATCCGCAGACCAGTACCTTGAATTTTGGGACGCAACTACTCCATTTTTAATGAACGTAGATTCATTACTAAACAAAATTATTTTGAAGACGTTTATAACAACAGAATTCTAACCTTCTTTCTTCATCTCCCGGTTCCAGAGTGTGTAAAATTTTTGGCTCGAATGGTTCAATTTTATTTTTTACAAGGCATCTCCTGATATTTTCTCTAGGGATATTTGAGATCAAACTAACCCTTCGGAAGCTTGAATGAGGAATATTACGAAATTATTGCGATATTCGCCCACCATTTCTATTCTCATGAAGTGGAGTTTCTGTTTTTGAGTATATTCCTCGATACATAACCTGCTTCATTAAAAACAGAATTTATACGGTTCACCGTTCCTGCTCACTGAAACTTTATCAGGAAATCTATTATGAAATTCTCTGACAACTTCTTATGCCGAAAGATCATTATCTCCGACAAGGCGTGCAAGTTCAATTTTATCTTGTACCATGATAAATCACTAATTCCTACCGATTTATAAAATAGTTTTCATACTAATCGGGCATAATCTGATGTTACTGTTTCAATACAGTTTTTGACAGCAGCAATAATAATCAACAAATGGCTTTTGTTTCCAGTGCCAAATGAAGAGAGCGCGATTTTGCACATCCGTACCGTGTTTCTGGGATTAAATACATTTGGAAAAACGTTATCAGGAGGGTTATTATACATAAATGCCGTTCTCCAAATGAAAGAGTTTTTATAGAGTGGAGTTCGAGGTGTACTGAGTTGAAGCTCAAAACGATGAGCAGCCATAGTCCGTCGCGTATTTCTGATATGTACCGCTCTTTGTGGAATCAAATGTGCCAAGTCACTTGAACACTTCCCGTGAAAGTATATAGAAGGGAGACAAATTTCCAACCTTCCTTCGATGTTCCAGACTGTCGAAGTTGCAAGTGATGTTCGTGTCTCCAATCAGGTGGATGACCCTTTTCTGGATGGAATCCAGCTTTCAAGTGGGTCACACTGTGTATATTTTTTCATCAAGTGCTGTCTTGGTTTTCCACATTTTGTTCTCAATCGAGGACTGCCTGCCCGGTACTGATGATGCCCAACAGGCTGAAACATCTGTCTACCGGTGACTCTTAAATTGAAATCAAATTAGGAATTATCAGAATAGATATTTTATGACACACAAATATATAATTTGTATAGTAAATTCAACACTAATATTGCTCCCACACACCAGAACCGCAATGTTTCGACCCGTGTTTTATTACCAACTGAGTTGTCTTCATCTGGGCATGAAATTTACTAAATCCTACAAACTTTGCCTGTTCATTTTCAACAGGGTGAACCTTCAATTTTTAGTAATTTATCAACGATATCTGGCCTTTGAACAAAGAAAGATGAGTTATCAATTATATTGAATAATATGAGGGGTAGCTTTTAAGCGTAGTTATTTAGGGTGTGTAAACTGAGAGTGTTTTGTGAAAATGCGACTTTTCAAAAGAATGATGAGTCAACATTTATTGTTACCTTGATACATCAATAGGTTGGACTGCAGCGGGGGCGTGTCACTTATGGAGGTGGATGATGCTTCATCCTAACGTTTGTGTATCTGTGCCAAAAGGACGAATAACCCTGAGCCCACTCAGTACCACTTAAGAAAATTTTGAAGTACGGGACATCCTCTCGCCATAGAAAGCCTGAGGTTCAATCATGATGAATTTTCATCATGGACATCCTTTCTCTATCTACCCATGGGACAATTTATGCATAATGAAGTAATCAAAGGATCCGACCATGAGTATGCAAAAGGGGAAGGGCGTCGACTAAACGATCCCAACTGTCTTCTGTATAACATCGGACCTAGGAGGTTAAGAAGTGCAGCCAGGAAGCGATTTATTGTCTGTCCAAGGGTGGGATACATTATTAATCTGCCTTGCACCACACTCTTGAGCAGCAGAAGGAGAATATGCATCAAGAAAAGAAACAAAATCCCCCCCGAGAACGTTAGCAACCATTTACTCTGAAACGATGATAAACACAAACAAGAAACGAAAAAACCCTGCTTGGCTGATTCTAATATACCGTCACATATAGCTGATTAACATATGCCCTCATATGGGAAGGTTACTGCCGTCATTGAATTGAAATCTTGCACCTAGAACATCTGACAATTCAGTATCAACCAACCATCTGGAATCTCTTTAGTATGTCATTATGGCCAGAAGATTCTAGAGACGCATATTTCAAATGGGTAGCTACAAAGTGTATCAGCAGAGCATCTTCTGGCTGATGGTCGCAGGTAATGTTCTGCAGCCATGGAAGGGTGTTTTCCTAAAAGGCATTACAGAAGATCTACTTTCCGTCAGATCCTCAGTAGATTGAGGAAAATGTACCATGAAATATCAACTTTGTTGAAGAGTTCAAACCATACATGCAAACCACATAACCAAAATATTTGAAATATTTTATGAAACTAAGACTTGAGTATTTTATACCCAGGAAGTACAAAAAAACCTTGGCTACTAACTTTGCTAGAAATGAGACAGTATAAGTTGACAAATTGGTACAAAGTTTCAGCGGTAAGAGTACTTAAGAGGCCAGGCTTCACTGAATTTCCGAGAGTTATTATTATCTGACAAAACCTCTAGAAAAAAAATTATATAGTTGATTGAAACACATTTTCCGGGTCACTAGCAATAAAATAATTCGTTTCAGTAAAGACTGGGTCCCAGCAATAGAATAATTCATTTCAGTAAATAATGTATACATGTTTTTATATATTTTCTCCCTGAAACTAGATTATATGGTCTCAACTGCTGAGTATCGATTCTTTCGACAATAAATACATTAAAAGACTGGAAAATTTATTATTTTATTCTTGATGAATTATCGATAATGAATTTCTGAGGATGAATCAAAATTGCAAATAATGCTTGAATCTAGTATCAAATAGAAACGAGTAAAATTTACAACAAACATTAAAAATTATTAATATTACCCACAACTCCTCCAGATGTTTGATATTACAAAAAAATAGACGCATTCCAGAAACCTCTCTATGGTCTTCCTTTTTAAGAATGATTTTCAAATATAATGATTTCAATGCCTTCAAATGCTTACTAGCAGCAACGGTACCATGTCCGAAGTGATCATCTTCGACGGATACAGCAAGCTTTCTCAACTGTAAAAAAAATTAAGGTAGATAATAACCGTTATTACGGAGATCTTGAATAGGACAGTTTTTATTTCAAGAAAATATATGGTCTGTCAAAAACCGTGAATAAGTCAAGTCCTGAAATGTCCAAAAATTTAGTATGAATATGCGAAGAATAAGTAATTCACAGGGAGTACACAAAAACAGGAGATGGGACTATGAGTGCTTCCCCATAAACACTTTACTGATTCAGAAATTACAAATCTAACACTGGAGTCGTGGACAAATTAAGAACTGGAGGCTCCAAAAAGAGCGTCCAGGAAGGATTAGCTGGTGGCAAACAAAGTAGTAGATTTGGAGAAAAATAAATATGAAATAAACTCATTCCAAGCTTACAAGCTGAGATCAGATGGCATTTAAGTAATACCTAAAAAAAAAACGGAACGTCTACTTTAAAAATTGGGTATAATCCTCAGAGCACTTGGCTCTTGGATATATATCAAAAACATGACTGATTTGAGTAACCTTCATTCCAAAGCCTGAGAAAATCATGCAGGACTTGGTGAAGACCTTGACAGGCATATTGAGGACATAACTCTGGCTACCAGACCACTGCATCAGGACAATTATGCTACAGATCAGATATGTCGACGGAAATGGTATTATGTCGCGTTACGAAAAAAAAAACAGAATATGCTTACAAGAACAAGAAAGTGCTTTTAGTTTCTTAGATATAGAGGGCGCATTTGATAATACGTCCTTATAATCAATAATCCAGGTATTGAGGAGAAGAGAGATCAATGACACAGGTGGATAAAATGCGTGCTTATAGTAAAATTGTCATACACAACCATAATGGAAGAGACAGTAGTGGCACGGGTAGCAAGAGGTTGTCCTTAGCGGGGGATGGAGTTGTCCCCCCTATGTAAACTTGTAATTGATAAGTTACTAAGTCTTCTGATCTATAACGGACACAAAGTACTAGGCTATGCAGACGACTTAGTCATCCTAGTAATTGTAATGATATAGTGAAGGGACGCATGCAGCAGGCGCTGAATATTACTTAACGGAGGGCAGAGGACTTTAAAACTTTGTGGTGAAGAAAAATATCTTTCGGGGGAGGCCAAATATTTGGGGGTGATACTAAATCCCAGAGTGACCTGAAATCCTGGAACCAATATCTAGAGAGAGTTAAAAGAAAAGCGGAGGTAGCAGTGATGTTTACACCATGGTGGGTAAACCCGTGATAACATATCCATTTATAGTCTGAAGGCCAAAGATGAAAGAAATAATCGTGGGGAGCAAAAACTTGCATGTTTAGGAATATACAACAGGAGCAAAAAAATCACCAGAAGAGCACTGACAACAATAAAAGAGATCATTTGCTACAGTTCATTTTGACAAAACAATTGAGACATCTGTTCTCTGCCCCCTTTCCTTCATTATTCAAAAGATTAGCATTTGCAATTCATTCTTTTCCTGAAATTTCATTACAGAATAAGAAGAATTTACTATTAGTACTACATATACCATTTTTGCAAATATCTATACTGAAGCTGAATAAATATAAATTTGTTATCTCAACTAACAGGTTATATATCTCATCTGTAAAATATACATGAAAAAAATTCTGAACTTTTCAATTCAATAGAATCAATTGGTATTATCACTTCATTTATATATTTTTTTTTGGTCAAACTGTTTTCTTTCAAAATTGCATTATTCCTTTTTGGATTATTTTAATTATCATGTTTGATTAGATCTCAGCTAAGGACAATCAGAATTTCTCAAGATGGTACACATTCAAAAATATCGTTTTTTAAATCTTTCTTCACCAGACTTCCATCAAATTTTGATCCAGATAAAAACATTTTTCCAAGAACTTCAATATTCCTTCTTCAAAAAAGGTCTATGTTATACATTTTTATGAAAAGTTTTGAATTTATATTCCATTGTAAGATTTTAAAATAGTCAGCAGTAATTACTTTGGGCACTATTCACAATAAAATGGATATATTGCAAAATACCAATTGACTCGATTTATAACTGTAATTAATTAGTTATGTATAATATTTACAATCATTAAATTAGATTTTACAACCTCCTAAAAGAATCACCAAATTATTATCAAACTTGAATAACTGGACACATAAAAATACTCAAAATCTTCATTGATATATGTTCTCTATAGTATTTTGGAGGTTGAATGGAATTTTCTCAACCATTTACAGTATTTTTCAGAAGATTGCAATGTTATTGTTCACCATAAGCGAAAGGATTAGGACAATGACTTCAAAAGTGGTATACTTGATCTGGTCTACTACCACTGATGAGATATGGCAAAATGAAACAAATATTGTCACGCGGGATCTCGTACCTCAACGTGGTTGAGCCTGGGTCTCTCGTTTACCATAGATGATGTTTTCGAAAGATAAATTGTCCTCGCCACTACTTATATGAAATGGTGAATAAAATTTCCATCAATACCTTTAAATATTCCATTATATCATTTTCTCGCAGGCCCAGTTTTGTATCTATTGCTATAAGTTCTTGCAAATTTTCCATCTTTCTGATAAGTTTCCTCAGTTCGTTAGCAGGAATCCAATACAAACAAGTTATATTCAAAGTTCTGATGTGGCTGGGGTTCATTTTTGTTGAAATAAACTGGCATAGATTGAAATGATGTAGTTCAAATTCTCTGGACCATTTTGAATTTCTAAAATGAAAAAAAATATCGTTTGATAAACCTATATATTGCTCAATAAAGTGAACAGAATAATTCAAACTTGAAAATATCCGAAAAACATCTGAGAAAATGCAATACTGCTGATCTTATAAAAACGTATTATGTATTCTATAATTTGGTATTTTCTCCACTTACTTTGATATCATTTTGTAGATATCATTTGTTAACTTTAGTTTACAG